AGAAGTGTAAGGCGCACCCTGTCTCACAGGGAGCCAGTGGAGCCGCAGGGGCCCTCAGCCTGGCCCAGCGGGGGGCACGGTGGAGGCCGCCGGGCAGAGCACTCAGGGCAGCCGGACAGCAGTGGGCACAGGCTACGCGCCTGCTCCGGGCCTCAGGGGGCGTTCTGAGCTTCTCTTTGGCCCAAAAGCACAGCTGAGAGGATTCCTGTTTCCCTCTCCCCCTTCACAGGAGAGGGGAGCTAGTTTGGGGGGCGGGTCCCGGGGGCCAGGGTGTGCAGATGTGAGGGAGAGCAGGAGGACTGCGGGCAGCTGTGTGGCCCAGCCTGCCGTGCCGCGGAAGCGAGGCCAGGATGGGCTCAGGGAGACCTGTCAGTGGGACGGGAGCCGCACAGGGGGAGGGCGTAGCAAAGGCCAGCCCCGGGGAAGGTGGGATGGAGGTACTGGTGGCTCTGCGGTCACCTCTCCTGCTGGGCAGGGTCCTCCAGGCCTTCCTAGCCATCAGCACTGGGGCAGGGAGGTCTGACTGAGCCACAGGGATGGGGAGGGGTGCCACTGGGGGGGAGAAGGGGGAGGAGAGCAGCTTGGAAGTGGGTGGGATCTGCAGCTGCTGAGCGGTTGCCTGCCCTCCACACCCCAAAGCTGGCTGGTGTGTTGCTGAGGAGCAGCCTCTGTCCAGCCAGACCCTCTGGAGGCAGCTGCTGCCAGCACACTCCTGGCCTACCTCCTGCCACTTGCTGGCCAGCAGGTGCCAGGGAGGCCCATTGCCAGGGCATTGTTTTCTGTGCCTCTGGCTGGCCCTGCCTGGCAGTGGAAGCTGTGGCCCGGGACACGGCTCCCAGGAGTGCCCCGCAGTGTCCCCCACCTGCCCTCCCTTGGAGCCCCCGTCCCTCCTGGTGAGAGCCCGGTCCCACTGCTCTGTCCTCTCTGCTGTTTTCCCGCCACTTCTGTTGACTTTAATCAAATGTACAGCCCAGAACACTGGGGTTATTAATAAGAAAATAAGGCCTAAACAAGAAAATAAGAATCACAACCTTTTCAAATGTTCGAACAGAGGTTACCAAGCTTTCAGACTCCCCGGACATCCTCAGGACATTTCAATGTGGACACCGACACCTGTTCCATTTGGCCGAGTGAGGATCGCAGTGGCCAGCTTCTGAGCCATTATTTCACGAGAGGGGGCCTTGTGCGGCCAGAGCAGGAGCTCACAGCCTGGATGCAGGCTTCCAGTGCCTTCCGCTGGCTTTATGATCTTGCTCTGGCATTAGCCTTCTTTTGCTCCTCTGCCATCCGCTGCCGTGGTGCCCTGAAGAGCCTCAGAGTTCGTGACCTGAAGAGGAAAGGTGGGCCCCGCCTGACAGGGGAAAGGCTTCAGTGCCCTTTGTCCCAACCACAGGCAGGGACAATAGCCAGGGCGGTTGTGGTCCCGCTGCCACCCCAGCCCCTGCTCAGGGCCTGGCAGCCACTGACATAGAAAGCTATACCCATTCACTGCCAGGCACTGCGCAGCTGAGCCAGGCGGCACACGCCTGCCCCGCCTCAGCTGCAGGGAGCGCTGGCTGAGCTGGGCCTTGTTGAGAATGGGTGTTTTTCAATATTTTATTAAAAAAGCACAACTATATCTTTAAATAAAACCAGGGCAGAAGCCAGAATACACATGGATCAAGCATGTCAAACCAGCAGCCGACAGGCCACATGCGTCGCCTCCAGCCACGCGTTTGACCTGCTGGGATGGGTGGAAGTGCCTTGGTTGAAGCAGGACTGGGCGCTGCCTGGGGCTGGCCTGCCCCTCAGGCTCAGCCTGGGAGCTGCCCAGTGACAGATGCAGCAGGAGGGCCAGCACCGCTCTGGAGGCAGCCTTCTTTGTCTGGGCCTGCTCCCCTCCCCCACCAGGGCTGTAGGCCTCTGGGCTGGCTTCCCAGTTAGCGGCTCCCATCCTTAGCCAAAGGCCCAGCTCCAGCCACTGTCGGTTACATCCTTTGAATTAGTCTCTTGGGGACAAAACACTCCCGAAGGCCTATCTGGGGAGATCTCACGTGCTAGGCAGCACGGGGCCTGGCCCTGGATGGGCTCCCCACACCCACCCCTTGGCTTCTTGTTGCCCTGCAATGCTTGTTCCCTGCAGGGAAAGGGCGGTGAGGCAGCACCACTGCGTCCCTGAGGCAGTGTGCTCCTCCTCTTGATGTGTGTGTGTGTCGGGGGGGGGGGGGGGGGGCTCCTGGGGCAGCAGAGTGGGAGCCTGGAGCGGGTGCAGGCCCTGGGGAGCTGCTCTGGTGGGTGCCACCTGAGCTAACATCGGGGAAAGGACAGGGAGAAGGCCGTGTCTGAGTAGAGGACAGCACGGTTAAAGCCCAAATGGAGCAAAGGGCACTGAGCCCTTGAGGGGGCTATGGGCAGGAGGTGGAGTCCGAGCAGGGAGTGGGAGAGCAGGGACTGCGAGGGAGCGGAAAAGAGGAAGGCAGGAGAGCCGCCCTGCTGGTTCTGGGTAAACGCAGCCCTTCCTGTAAGTGGCTGCAGGCATCCCTGTGCCCTGAGCCACAGGACAGTGTGAGGGGGCCGCCACCAGCCTCACCCGCTCCGGCTCCGCTGAGCAGCAGCTGTGTGGGCAGGATTTGAGGAAGGGCCTGAGGCGGAGCCTGGCGGTCACTTTGCTGCTGGCACTGCGGTGCTGAGGAACCGAAACCCTCTTTTGCAATGGGCCCGGAGTTCGGCAGGAGGTCCCCCCAGGCCCAAGGTGCCGCCCTGTGCCCATGGCAGGGCCTGTGCTGGCTGTGGGGCCTCCTCAGGGAGCCTGGCCTCTCCCAGCTGGGGTCTGCCTCATGCAAAGGCAGAAGGACGTGTTTATAGGACGACTCTGGGGTCACTGGGAGGCCCACCTCCCTCCTTCGAATAATTCCCCTTCTCCGTACCCACATGTGCCTGCCTCCCGGAGCGAGCGCTCCTGCCTGCACCGGGCCGCTCCTCCAGCAAGCAGGGAGGGAGTGCGCGATGGACAGCGTGCCCAAGGGACAGCACTCGGCTCCCCGGATTCCCAGAACAGCAGGGGTCACACACGCACACACACACACGCACACACACGCACACACACGCACACACACACACACAGAGCAGGAAGGTGTGACTGAGCCAGGTCTGTGTTAACCGAGTTTGTGAAGGAGCCGCCTCATGGGTGAAGAGAGGCCGTGCACCTGGCTGTGCCCCTCCAGTGTAACGTGCCCCTCGGACTGCTGGCTGCAGCTTGGCAGAGGGGAGGAAGAGGCAGGACCAGGGGTGGAGAGTGAATTTGAAGTGTGGCTTGCTGCTTAGCACCCAGAAGGTGGGAGAGTCCTTGATAGGAGAGTCCTCCCTAGGGTGGCGTGGAGGGAGTTAGGAGTAGGAACCATGTGCCTGTGCCATGGAGATGCCGGTGCCGTAGGGAGCGCCCCAGGGAGTTACCGTCCGTCAGAGGCCGGGACTGGGAGAAGTGCACAGACCTTGCTGGGCCGAGTGGGAAGACACAGGCAGTTTCCTGTGTGAGCCCACTGTCCCCTGGAGGGCGGTACCCACTGTGCCGATGAGAAAGGATGGTCCGGAGGCGCCAGACCACTCGGGGAGCCTGTAGGCTGCACTAGGAGCAGGACAGAGGCTCATTCCAGGGCCTTGGAGTTTGCAAGCTGGAACACAGCGAGAAAAAAGCCCAGGAGTGTTTCAAGGAGGAAAGAAAAGTTAAAAGTTCTTGTAGCAACAAGCGCACTCTGGACCAGTATCAGCCCTGCATCCTGGGCCCAGGACCGCTCCCGGAGGGTCACCGTCGGAGGTACTCAGGTGATCCGGAACAGGGTGCCAGCAGGTCTGGTCACGCCCCAGGTCTGGCCAGCAGCCCTCAGGTGGACGCACTGAGTCCTCGGGGTAATTAGAGGCTCACCCGGGGCCAGATGCCTATCCAGGCACTGACGCAGGCGGAAAGTTCAGAGCTGGTTGTCTTTGGAGCCTGTCTCTTAGGAGATGGAGCATCTCCCCAGGGTGTGGGTTTGACCTCTGCCCCTCTGTCCCAGGCGAGCTAGAAAGAGGATGGTCCTTCCTATGTCCCAGCTGTCTAACGGCTTATTTAGTCTCTTCTTCACTCTTTCCTTGAGCCGCTGTTCAAGGTCAGCGCAGAAAAGGCAAAAGGACAGTATCCGGGCGCTAAGGGCTGGCGTTCGCAGGGGCTTTGCCACTTCTGCGCTGGGAATCTTGGGCAAAGTGCCTATCTCCTGTCCCCACAAAATGGGAACAGGACGGCATTTACCTCGTAATGTTGTGAGGAGTAAGTGCAACACAGTAAGCCCTCCCAGTGTTGGCAATGGGTTCTGTGACTTGAAGTGAAGTGACAGCTAAAGAAACCGGTTTACAATAAGCTAAATGATATGCGGGTGTTAAGTTCCTGCAGCATCTCATCGCCGCGGTAACCTATCAGCTGTAACCATAGAAAATGCTCCACACAGTCTGTGGCACTTAGTGAGCATGGTACCTGTCCGCCGGTCCCTGGGGGGGCTGGCCAGGGGTGCGGGCTCCAGGGGCAGCCCAGTCCTGCCCTGGGCTCAGCGGGAATGAGGAGACAGGCCCAGGCCACTTCGGAAGTTTGGAGGAGTGACCGGGGCAGAAACATTACTCAGGGTGTCCCCGCGGAGGGGAGGAAGCAGCTGCCCTGACACATGAAGGAGATTGAGCCTGACTCCCAGGGATTGTGGGAGTGGGAGTGGGGCTGATTGAACTGGCAACTGCTGACTCGGCAGTTTTGGCCTTGGGCCACCAGGGGGCGCTTGGCTGACCCGTGCAGGTGTGGAACCCCTTAAGTCTTCTGGTCCAGGGAGTGGAAGTGAGGAGGGGACTGGGGATGCAGGATGGGGAGGATGGAGGTGGGAGGTGAGCCCAGGCAGCGGGCTCTGGGGGTCCCACTGGCCAGCTCCTCCCGCTTACCCATCTGTGCGCCCTTCCCGGTCTTGTTGGCAGGTAGCTTCCGGGTCTGCAGGCAGGAGGAGAAGATGAAGGAAGACTGTGCACCCAGTTCTCATGTGCCCATCAGCGACAGTAAATCCATTCTGAAGTAAGCCTGTGTGTGCTGGGAGGGTGCGTGCCTGAGGTCTCCTCCATGGGCAGCCTTCGGGTGGAAGGTTCCAGGCCCTTTTCCCAGATGGGAGGTGTGCCTGCCCCAGGACAGTGAGGGGCCTGCCATGGGCGTGGTTGCCTTGTCTCCTCAGGGTGCGGGTTGGACCTCTGCCCTCGCTGGCCCACAAAAGCAGGGAATCCCCACGGTGCCCATGTGACTCTGCAGAAAGGGTATTTCTTTAAAAGCTAGAACAATACTGAAAAACAAACAAACCAACAAAAATAACCGGAGCAATACTAACACTCTTACTGTTGTGTTAAACACTTAAGGAAAAAACCCTCAACAATAGCTTTGAGTTTTTATGGAAAAGGTATATTTTATTGACACATGATTTTAAGCTTTGCTTGTTTTTATTTTAGAATACTTTTTAAACGTTTGGGATCTTTTTAAAATTTATTTCTGAGCTAAAGAAAAGCACAGTTGTGATTTTATCTTGCTCCTTGAGTTCTGAGTCTAAACATTGTCTGCTTCGGGCAGCGCTTGCCTGCCATCTGAAGACAAGCCAGCCCCGTGCAGAGGGATCACTTTTGTAAGAGACAGTGCCAGGCCCTCCTGCTGAGACCCTGAGAGCAGATGGCATTCCCTGTATCATTCCCAGTGCTGCCCATACCGTCATGTTCTTATTTACGTTTTACAATAAGAACAATATCAGATATCATTTTTTGAAAAGTCATAATCACCATAACATGATTAATTTCACATATGTGTATGTGTGTATGTGTGTGTGTGTGTGTGTGTGTGTGTCTATCCTAATAATTTTGTGTTTAGCACTGACACACTTATAAGCCCAGTGAACATGCAGCATTGAATGCTGCTTCATCAATGCCATAACGTTGTAAAGCACTTCCCCTGGCCGTTACCGTCACCCCCACATTGCAGAGCGGGCGCTGCGCACGCACAGCCGGGCTGGTGCGGGCCGGCGCTGGCACTGCCTGAGGAAGATGCAGGGCAGCCCTGTGCCCAGGAGGGGCCGCCAGCCAGTGTGGCTCCAGCACGGGCTGTGGCTGGAGAAGCGAAGCTCCGGTGAAAGATGCTCCAAGTGGCAAACACTTCTTACAGAATAAAATACTGAGCAAGGTCTCCTTAACACCGTACACAGGTTACATGGGGCACGATAATGTTTTAGATACACTGGGTTCAGTGAAGTGTTGTTAAGATTAATTTCACCTGTTTCACTTCCCTCTTGGATAAATGTGACGCGCATTCTGTATCCGTTGGATGGAGCTGCCCTGGAGAGCCCACTTGGGCACAGCAGCGAAGCACAGTGTGTTCCCTTTTATTCTGGGGAGAAAACACTTGGGCCTCGGGGTCTTACTCACCGCTGTCCCCTTCACCCCCTGTCATGCCTCCAGGCGGTCAGGATGGAAAAGAGGCAGGAGCCCTCCTGGTGCCCACAATATCAGATATCATTTTTTGAAAAGTCATAATCACCATAACATGCCAGGCCCTGGTAGGCAGTGATGTGGAGGGGGGGGAAGCAGGAGTCTTCTAAACGCCAATAATCTGGCCCCGGGGGGTTATTTGAGGAAGTGACTCAGCAGTAAAGTATGGGGAGGCCGTCAGGAGCTGTTATCCTCAATAAGTGACCGTGTGCAAACACCCGCACTGCACAGGGATGGGGTCCACCTGTGAGTTTTCACTTCCCTCTAAGTCCCACCCCTATGCCTCCCCCGAGGGCTGATATTAAAACCCTCAAGAAGACTGAAGGGCGAGTGTCCAATGGCAGTCTGCTCTCTTAACCAGTTGTGCGTAGCCAGAAAGCTGTGTGCTGTGATGCCCGCTCTGCAGATGAGAAACCGAGGCCAAGGAGGGCAAACCCTTTGTCCGAGGCCTGCCACACGCTGAGAGGATGCACATGTGCTTCCCTCCTCAGGTCGGAGCTCTTACACCTGCTGAAAACCTACAACTGCTACCACGAGGGCAGGAGCTTCCAGCTGAGACACCGAGAGGTAAGGCCCGGTCTCTGCTGTATGCAGAGTCACCAGAAGTCTATCCGCCATTTGCACAGACAGTCCAGTTTACACCTAATTTCCAGGGTAATTCTTATTTTTTAAATATATTTTGCTGATTTTTTACAGAAAGGAAGAGAGATAGAGAGTTAGAAACATCGATAAGAGAGAAATATCGATCAACTGCCTCCTGCACACCTCCTACTGGGGATGTGCCCGCAACCAAGATACATGCCCTTGACTGGAATCGAACCTGGAACCTTTCAGTCCACAGTCCGATGCTCTATCCACTGAGCCAAGCCTGTAGGGCTCTAGGGTAATTATTAAGCCCACGTCCCTCACTCTTGGAAGTGTCCCCATTTGGTAATGAATTATAAGGTCACACATCCTCTGAGGGAGGCACCAGGTGACGGCAGCCAGGATCTCTTCGTGAGGCCTCTCTCTGTCAGGGGGCAGAGGGTCAGGCTATCCGGTGAGGATTCAGAGCCGTGGAGTCTTCCCATGGGCCTTCTCCTTCCAGCTGGGACTTTTGTCCCCGTGAATCGCCAGGACATTGGAGTTTGAAATCTGTGAGACCACCCATCCCGCAGCACAAATGGGCTCAGCACAGGCTCTGGCGCAGGTCAGTCGAGGTGTGAAGGAGGTGGCTCTGCCCATCAGAATAAGCAGAGGGAAGGGCTTTGGAGGGAGAGGAGTGCCCAGAGCTGCTCCCAGGGCAGGCAGGCCCGGAAGTGAACGGCAGGGCTGGCGGAGAGCGTGGAGGGCAGAGAGCACCTCCCCGCTGCAGGCCGCTGCTGCCCCGTCAGGCCACGTGCTGAGCAGGAGCGTGGACTGGCCCACACGGGCCCTCCTGGTATTTCACTGGAAGCTAGACACCCGGGATTTCATGTGGAATCTCGCAAACCTCGGAACCCCTGTGAGCCAAACAAAGCGTGTCTGTGGCCATCCAGAGGCTGTGGCGCCGGCCGGACTCGGGAATGGCCAGCAGGCCCAGGCTCGGGGCCACTCACTGAGCAGATCGAGCAGAGGCTGGCCCTCCACCACCTGAAACCCTCCCACCGTTCACTGGGGCCCAGGCCGGGCCCTGCCTACCTCGGTCTCACTCAATCCGCTTGTAAAGCCCCCGGGGGAGACTGTTGTGTAAGGTTCTGTTGGGGGGATCCCACGGTTGAGACGGGTGACTCCTGGACTCCCTCGGGCCTGTCAGTGTCCGTAAGAGCCAGCAGCCTGAGTCCCCTTGGGCTGCTGAGCGCAAGAATGGGCAGTTCACCCCCCCCCCAACCCCTCCTCAGGTGGAGGCAGGCCGCTGCTTGTCCATCTTCATTCCCGTTAGCGATTCCGACAGCCGCGCATCCTCCCGCAGTTCCCAGACCTGAGGGTGAGCCCCGTGTCCGGGCAGCTGTGGGCTGCTGGGGTCCTCTGTCTGCAGCTGGGGTCGCCTGTCAGTGGCCTGAAGGAGGGCCTGCTAAAACCTACCCGCCAGGCCAAATTACTGGGCCACTGGATTCCGGTCAGGCTGTGCTGGCCGCTGAGATGGCACACCCTCGGGCCTGGGCCACGCCTGACACCTTGTTCCCCACCTGCTCTACCGAGGGCTCCTTCCCTCACGCTCTCCCCCTGCTGAGCAGCCTCTAGCACCTGCCCACCAGCCCACCCGTCCCAGCTCCTTGCTGCCAGGGGCTCTGACCTCACGACCCGGCTTCACCGTCTGTCCGGACTCCAGTGGGAGCCCGAGGCCTGCCTGGCTCTGCAGCCTCTGGCCAGCAGGCTGGTCCTGGGCACAGGGGTTGGATGAGGAGCCAGCAGGCCAGGGTGAGTGGGGTGGAGCCCCAAGTGCTGGGCAGCTCTGACCCGCGCTGCTAAGGGCGGAGCGGGCCTCTTTGGCGGCCCGGGATGCCATCTCCGGCTGACCCCGCTCCTCAGCTCTGGGCACTCAGGGGTTGATCTCAGGGCCTGGTGGTTCCCACACCTGCAGCCTCACTGGGAACTTAGGACTGAAGTTCTTGCCTCTGTCCTCCTGCAGGCTCGCTGCGTAGAAGCTCTGCATCCCCTCCCCTCTGCGTGTGATGGGCCCCGGGTCCCCTGAGGAAGAGCGCTGGTCCAAGGGCTGGGTGTTGGCACTTGGGACTCCCCAGGACAAACCCTCTGCAGGAACAGCTGTGTGGGGGGCAGGGCTGGGGAGCTGGGGAGCCGGGAACCTGTGCCTGTGCTTGTGTGTGGCCGGACAGCCCACATGGAAACCGCACAATGGTGACAGCCCCCAGGTGTAGGAAGTTTACATCCCGCAGCAGGGATTTTCCTGTTCTAGCCCTAAAACTCGTGTGAGGGTCTGGCCTGATTCCCTCCCCCCTCCCCCCCCCCCCCGCCCGCCCACCCCGCAGGTTCTCAGCGTGAGACGGGGCGCCTGGTTCCAGGCACCTGCGCCCGGGCTGCCTGAGGCCATGCAGCCAGGTGCCAGGCACTTTGCCTCTTTTTATTTTCTGTAGCACAAGAGCTTTGCAACGAAGGAGCCACCATTCTCCAGACAAAGGGATGGAGGCTCTCACGCATAAGCCTCTGAGCCAGGCAGCCCTGCAGAGTGAAGGTGCTGGTGTGGCTCAGGGCCTGAGCACAGGCGTTAATATAGCAACACCTTCGCCAGCACCGAGCAGGGCACCCACCTGAGCTGCCCTCCGGCTGCCCAGGGGCTCAGACCGGGTGCGCCTTACAGGGCCATGGGGGCCTGAGGAGACCCCTCCCCTTTGGTCACCCGCCCCCCCACCCTCCATCCCCCCTCCAGGAGTCCTTGAGGCCTCCACCGTCCCACCAGGGGGGGCACCTTCTCTTCCACCGTCCCGCCAGGCCGTAGAACGTGGAGAGAGGAGGGTGTCGGTGGTCAGGGCCAGGGGCCATGACTGGGTCATGTGCTGGGAGAGCTGGGTGCGAGGGACTCCCCACTGAGGAGGCCAAGGCTTCCTCGGTTGTGAGCCTTGCCTTCGGGATAAGTTTGCTTGTGCTGCAGTGAAAAGCGGAAGCAGCCTTTTAAAGTCCGCAGAGCGTTTGTTGGCGTCTGGGGGAAAATGGGCAGCCTGTGAGCCAGAGGCCGCAGGCCCTGTGTCCCGGTGGGTGCATTGTGGCCCCTCCGAGACCTGGCCTCCCACCCAGCCTTGTGCTTAGTTCTCATGGGCTCACGGCTCCCCCTGCTGAGCCCAGGCCCCATCCTCAACCCACGCAGCCTGCTGGGCCTGAGAAAGGTACCGAGGGGCTATTATTATTATTATTGGACAAAGATTTTAATTTTTTAAATTAAGGTATTACATGTGTACATATCTTCCCATTGCCCCCCATCCCCTCTCCCATACATGCCCTCACCCCCAGAGTTTTGCGTCCATTGGTCATGCTTATGTGCATGCACACAAGTCCTTCGGTTGATCTCTTGTCTCCCGCACCTCTCCCCACCCTCCCGCTGTAATCTGACAGTCTGCTTGTTGCTTCTCTGCCACCGTATCTATCTTTTCGTTCATCCGCTTATAATGTTCTTTATTATCCACACATGAGTGAGATCATGTGGTGTTTCATTGCCTGGCTTATTTCACTAATGCCGAGGGCTTCTGACAGAACGCGGGCCCCGGGGCGGGTGCTCCCGCCTACCTCTGCCCTGGGTGGGACAGTGTGTCCTGCCTGCTCTGACCACCACGGGAGGAGAGGGAGCCGCTGTTCAGGCCTCCCCCTCGAGGTCCTCCCCCTTCCCCGAGGCTGTCCGTGCAGGAGAGGGGACACTGCCTGCCGGAGCCCCTGCCTGGCCTTCATTCCAGCTGTTATTTTGGCACCTTCTGCAAGTGCCACCAATTTCTTTCACGTTGAGAGGTGTTAGCAGAGGAGACCAGAGCCCGGGTCCCCTCGCTGCTGCCTGACCCCCCACAGCAGCGTGCTCCTGAGCTGGGGGTACTGGCCGGGTCACCCTCGTACCGCCCTTAGACCCGAGTTCCTGCCTCCGGGAAGGGGCTGAGTGAGGCTGAGCCCAGCGCGCCCCCAGGCACCCCCTGGCAGGGAGCCCTCCGCCACCTCCCCAGGGCATTCCGGCTAAGGTCACCCACACGTTCCTGCCAAACAGTCAGGCGCCCACAAACTAAAGCCACAGGGTGACAGAGGCGGACAGTGTGTGCAGCGCTGGCGCCTCCATCTCCAAGTGCTGGCCAGCTCCCTCTCCTCTCCGGTGTGAGGGCAGTGTTGGTGTCCCCTCGGAAAAGACGAGGAAACTGAGAAATTGCTGGTCTGAAACTTTCTCTTTAGAATGTATGCCTCAGAAGGCATAAAAGAAGACATAAAAATGTAAAAGTCCAGCCGAAACCGGTTTGGCTCAATGGATAGAGCGTCGGCTTGGGGACTGAAAGGTCCCGGGTTCGATTCCGGTCAAGGGCATGTACCTTGGTTGCGGGCACATCCCCAGTAGGGGGTGTGCAAGAGGCAGCTGATCGATGACTCTCTCATCGATGTTTCTAACTCTCTATCTCTCTCCCTTCCTCTCTGTACAAAATCAATAAAATATATATATATTTTAAAATGTAAAAGTCCAAACCAATTTTAAAAGAGCTTTTAGCCAGCTTGACTCGGTGGGTAGAGCCTCGGCCTGCAGACCGAAGGGTCTGGGGCTCGATTCCCGCCAAGGGCATGAACCTCGTTGCAGGCTCCTTCCCCGCCTGGGCCCTGGTTGGGGCTTATGCAGGAGGCAACCTATCAGTGTGTTTCTCACACATCGATGTTTCTCTCTGTCTTTTCCTCTCTCTTCCACTCTCCCTAAAAATCAGTGGGAAAATATCCTGGTGTGGATTAATAACAACAACAACAATTTTTAGAAAGAAAGAAAGAAAAGAAAGAAAAGAAAGAAAGAAAGAAAGAAAGAAAGAAAGAAAGAAAGAAAGAAAGAAAGAAAGAAAGAAAAGACTGAGGATTAATAACAACAACAACAATTTTTAGAAAGAAAGAAAGAAAGAAAGAAAGAAAGAAAGAAAGAAAGAAAGAAAGAAAGAAAGAAAGAAAAGACTGAGGATTAATAACAACAACAACAATTTTTAGAAAGAAAGAAAGAAAGAAAGAAAGAAAGAAAGAAAGAAAGAAAGAAAGAAAGAAAGAAAAAGACTGTTTGATGGTCCACGGAGCAGGGAGGTGGGGGAGGCGGGGGAGCTGAAGCAGGCTGTGGGCTCGGCTGCAGCCCCGCACTGGCCCTCTCTGACCCCTTCCCCTGCCCGGCCGGCCAGCTGGCAGGTTCCCAGGCCTGATCCTTTGGCTCTCTGACCTTCAGCTGCCGCTCTGAGAGGGAACCCTCCCTCTCCCCTACCCTTCACCCTCACCTCCTTGCTTGTCAGATGCCTCGAGGAAACGGGGTTTTGCCGGTCTCTGGGGGACCCAGGAATGGCCAGGCTGACCTGGGCCTGAGGATATGTGGAGTGAGGCCTTGACCCTTGGCTTGTCTGCTAACAGGGTGGCCAGACAGCACCCTGCGCTTCACCCCCCACAGCTGAGGTCCCTGGGTGGAGGCAGGCGGGGGTGAGGCAGGATGACCTGGTGCAGCACTGGGCATCCTGCAGGCTGAGCTGGTGCGGGTTCTGTCCTGGGCTCAGCCTGGGGAAAACCCTCCTGATAATACAGCTGGAGCCACTGAGGTACCCCCATGCTGCTGTGTCAGCGCCCCTGAAGCAGTGGGGCTACTTGCTGAGACCACGTTTTCCCTTGGGGCTCCTGGGACCTGTGCTCTGAAGGTGGGGCCAGGGGACTGATGGGAGCACCCAGAGCCTCCTCGGAAACCACTGGGCGGGGGTGGGATCTCGCTTCTCCTCGCTCCCCAACCTCGCTTCCCACACAGGCAGCAGCCACGCCATGTCTGGCTCGCAGCATGTGCCCCGGGACCTGTGTGACGTTTATCTCATCGGAGCAGGCAGGAGGCCTGAGAAAACCAAGAAAGTACTCAGAAGGGAGGAGCAATGTGGGGACCGCAGCACCACAGCCCAGGGAAGGCTGCTCCTGCTCAGGGTCGGGGTCCCAGAGCAGACAGCCCCTGCAGAAACCCCTCCCTCCAAGGCCCGCCAGGGCTGTGCCCCCCGCGGGGGGCGGCAGAGTGGAGAGGTGGCGGCCAGCTGCTCTGCACAGAGCCTTTATTGGGGAGGTCAGAGTTCATGGATCACCGGGAGGTGCAAACAGAGAGTTCTGAGGACGCTGCCCGGCCGTGCGCTGGGCGGGGAGGCCGCGGCCGGGATGGGGTGCCGGGAGCCCTGGTGCCAGTCCCTTCTTAACCGTCCCCCCGGACAGCGCCCCGGTGCCCTGGCATCACAGAGCTTCCCCTTGGGGCACGCCCCGGCCTCGCTGCTCTCCGTCTGTCTGTGAGGACCCCAGGGCTCCGCAGAGGGACCGGGCCTCCTTGGCAGGCCCCTGCACCGAGGCTGCTCCTCCAGGGGCTGCCCGAAGAGCCAGCCCAGGGGGTCGGCGGTGCGTGGGGGCTGCTGGCCGCTGACGGGAGTGGTGATGTCCTGGAGGGACCGGGGAGGGCCGCTCTTCCTGCCGGCCCGGGCTGGCCAGGGGCGTCTGCCGGGACGGGCCCCGGCTACAGCCTCGGTCAGCGCCGAGGCGGGCTGCGCCAGCTGGCAGAGGGACCTCCTGTGGTCATCCAGGCTCGGGGAAGCCAGGGCGTCCTGCTGGGGCCCCCCGGGCAGCACCTCCTCCCGGCTCTCCCGGATGGTGGGCAGACGGGCCACAGACAGCAGGAGCCGGGACCTCATGGCCGCCAACGGCTGGAAGCAGCCACCTGTTGGGTGACAGAGAACCAGGGGTGAGGGTCTGCCATGCCCGCCTGCCCCCCCACCCTGCCCTGCACCCCCCCCCCCCCGCCCCAGGGGAGGCGTCTGTAAGCCACGGGCCTGAGGACAGTCCGCAGAGCGCTCCTCTCTCAACGTTAAAGCCCCTGGAATCAGAGAACCCAGCCAGCCTGCAGCCAGAGGGACGGGGTCTACAGCCAGACTGCCACTCCCTGATCGGGGACCTTTGGCTGCGTCACCTCTGCAAGCCTCCACGTCCTCATCCATAGAACGGGGCTGCACACACCTCTTCTCGGGGGCGTGTGCTGTGAGAAGCACGAGTGGCCTCTCACGCGAAGCCCTGTGTGTATGAAGCCCTCACAGCCTCTGTCACTGCCACGGGCTGCGCCCTGAGGCCGGGCAGGACCCCGGCTGAGGCCCGGGAAGATACACAACGCCATTCTGTTTTACCTCAAACCGGGGGCCGGGGCTCCCTCTTACCTGTGGCCGAGGGGCCCTGGAGCTCGTAGGGCTGCTGGAGCAGCAAGGGCAGGCGAGGGAAGCCCCGCGGAGTTCGGGGCAGCCGATGCGGGTTCGGCGGTCGGAGCCCGTGCCCGGTGGCAGACGGTGGGGATGAGGGTGAGGACAGGGTGCCACGGCCTCTGTCCGATGTGCCAGTGTCCAGGGCAGATCCCTCCCTGACGGTCTGGCCGACCCAGAGGCCCCGCAGCAGCTTTCATACCTTCCCACTGATCAGCTATGTCACGAGGGCCCGAAATAGCCGCCAGGAAGGCTCTCCGGAAAACAGCCCGGGGGCGGGCCTGGCCCCGTGCCCACCAGGAGCAAGTGTTTGTGCTGTGGGCGGCCCTGGGAGTGTTTACTCTGAGGGAAGGGGTGGGCGGGGCGGGCACCACTGCTGGCACCTCAGGCCAGGAGAGGCTGCTACCACCACCTGGAGGCGTCCCCACCGTGGGTTACACCAGCCCCTGAGCCCCAGGCCCTCCAGCCTAGAGCCGGTGTGGTGGAGCCGGAGCCTGCCCCCCTTCCTCCCCCAGGAGGCCCTGCCCTGGAGGCGGCCGAGGCTGCTACGTAAGCCTGCGCCAAGGTGGCAGTGCCCACCCTGGTCTGGGGCCAAGGGCAGCGCCCAGGTCCTGGTTTTACTGCTTCCCAGATGTGGTGCTTCCCCTGGTGACAGCGGGCCGCGCCAGGCACGAGATTGTGCGGGCGCGGCTCCCAAACCGAGCTTCCCGGCTGCTGTGAGGACAGCGGCTGGGGTCCCAGGGGACACCTGTCTCAGCCACCCTGTCCCCCACCGTGCCCCTTCCCCCAGGGAAGTCCCCAAGAGGGAGGGTGCGTGTTTGGGGGTTCGAGTGTCCGGGGAGTCCCGTGTCCGAAGGGCTGGGTCCTGGGGGGCAGGGGGAGGCGGGCAGTGACTCCGAGGCCTCCCGGGCAGAGGCTGACTGTGAGGTCCCACAGGAGGAAGGGGAGCTGGTCATCGAGGGGCTCCTCACCATCGCCTGGGGGCTGCGGCGGCCCATCCGCCTCCAGATGCAGGACGACCGGGAGCCGGCGCCCCTCCTCGGCCGCCTGGACGCCGGGCAGCCCAGCTGCCGCCTGTGAGTGCCGGCTCGCCTGGCCACCCTGAGCTTACTGTTTGGGGTGTTGGTGGGGGGTCCCGGGCCTCCTGTAGGGGGCACAACAGTCCGGGCTCAGCCCTGTCCCTTCCCGAGGCGTCAGCCCGCAGCCTCCCCGGCCCCGGCGGCCTCGCCGCCAGGGGTCTCTCCAGGTGGCGGCCGAGGCGCTGTCCTCCTGGAAAACGTCCCAGCGTCCCCCGCTCCAGCTGTGCTTCTCACACATCCACACAGGGAGGTGCAGGCGGGAGGGCCCTCTGCAAACAGGCATTTCTCAGCAGCTCTGGGCCTGTCCTACAGGTGCACAGATTTCACTCCTCCTGCTCTGCTTTGACTTCAACGTCAGAATTTATGTTTATAAATTTATCAACATTTAATATCATCCTTTCCCCCTTCAAATACTCAAATCAAGGCGCTGCTGCGAGGACCCTCAGCACGTTGACCTACTGGCCCACCCACGGGGGTGGAGGGCAGTCACGTGAAGCAAATTCGAGCAGCTCAGGCTGTAGCACGAAGCTCGTTCACGCGCAGTTAGGGGGCTAGTTGCCGTCACGCCTGTTCCTCTCCAGCCCGGAGGCCAGGTTGCCCCGCCCCGCCCCCTCCAGGCCTGCGGGATGCCCCAGCCCACGGGGCACGTGGCAGCGGGCTCGGCCCTGCAGCCCGGAGCAGAGCACCGTGGTGTCCCGTGTCCCGTGTGTGGCAAAGCAGAGCCACGGGCCTCAGAACAGAACCCCTCAGTCCAGCAAACACGTGGCCATATTGTGCTTTTCTCTCAATATTTCCGCTGACTCTGGAGTGAAATCCCAGCCTCCACTCGGCCTGCCCGGCGTCTGGCCTGTGTGTCGTCCATGCAAGCAGCCCCTCATGGCCACTCCTGTGCCGCATTGTGCTCGTGTCTTTCCAGAAAGGAGCCGCTTCTGCAGGGGGGCCCTGCCCCGCAGCCCGGCCCGCAGCCCCCGGAGCCCAGGCCTGAGAGTGCCCACAGCAGCTCAGGTAAGCCGGCCGCTCCCAGACCCTGAGCTCAGCCTGGGGGGAGGGGGCATGGCCGTGCCCCCGCCAGAGCATCTCCGAGGAGGAGCGAGGCCCCCCTGGTCCTCAGGAGCAATACGGGTCCTCAGTGACTCCTCACTGGGCAGGAGGGAGCAGGGGACATGCCTCCTTAGTGACCGGCCCCTCGCCAGGCAGTGTTCCAGGAGGAGGGAACAGTTTGCAGACGGCCTGGAGCCCTCCTGGCCGTGCAGGCCCGGGGCCTTGTCCTCACACTTACGTCCATAACTGCCCCCCGTCCTCCATGTCCTCCCCCCCATACCCAGCAGGTGATGTGGTCACACAGGTGACCTTCCTGCCAGGACCCGCCTCCACACGGGGGCAGCGTCCAGCAGATCTGCCGCCTCCACACGGGGGCAGCGTCCAGCAGATCTGCCGCCTCCACACGGGGGCAGCGTCCAGCAGATCTGCCGCCTCCGCGGTGCCCTGTCCCCGGTGCTCACCGGGGCCTGACCCTGCATCCCTTCCGGCCGCAGGGCCCCTGGAGGAGGACGAGGAGACCCCGCAGCTGATGCGAACCAAGAGCGACGCGGCCTGTGTGGTCCAGCGGAGGCCCCGCTGCCGCGGCCCCGACGAGACCCAGAGGACCCGGCGGCACCGCTTCTCCATCAACGGGCACTTCTACAACCACAAGGTACCTCCCGCCTCGCCTCTGCCCGGACCCGGACAGAGGACCCAGCCCCAGGCACCCGCCGAACCCGGGGCCTGCCACGCGCCAGCCCGGGGCGGCCATGCAGAGTTCCCTCCCCACCTTCCTGAGCAGGTGGCGTGCAGGGTGGAGAAACACGGCCAGGGCAAGCCCATAGACCCATCAGCTCAGGACCCCGTGGCCTGCATTTCCTTCTCCACAAACACGGTCCATCCGTGCTCACACATGCCCCTGAGTTTTGCAAAACACCTGTCTTTGGTGTGTGCCGGGCTTAGCGAGGCAGTGTTCTCGGGTTCATCTGGGCTTCGTCTCCTGGGTACCATGCCCCTCGCTGGCACTATGCCGGGGGAGTGAGTCAGGGGGGCCGAGGCGTGCCAGGCACATGGCCGTGTCAGGGGACACGCACTGCCCCAGGTTCCAGCACACAGCCCTGTCCCAGCATGTACTGTCCCCGGCTCAGGAAGTGACTTCACTCCGTCAGCAGCTGGGTGGCGAGAGGAGACGCTGGCTGGTGCGGCAGAGGGCATGGGTGGCGGTTTGGGTGCGGCCTGGCTGGAGGGTCCTGGACCAGGCCCATCCTAGCGCCCTGGGAACGGAGCAAGCGCTTCCAGTCCAAGCAGCAGCCCAGGCCGGCGGGAGCGGGAGGAGGTCTGGGATCAGATCTGCAGAGCAGCCCTGGCGAGGCCTGCCCGGGGCCATTCAGGCCGCGCTGGGGTGGGCTGGCCTTCAGGATGAGGCAAGGCAAGCCGACAGGACCCTGCTTTGCTGTCGGGACCTCCCAGCGCCCCCCTTCCTTACCCCCCACGCTCCCGCTAGGACCTCAGCGAGTGCTGAGTGACAGCGGCTGCAGTGTCTGTGCTCCGCCCAGGAGAGCCCAGGGCTTGAGAGGACAGTTTCCTGGAGGAGTGACGAGCCCAGGACCGAGCTTAAGGGGGGATTGGGAACGGCTTGGTTACCATGAGCACCACGTATAGTAAATCCTCCTAAGGTCCCGGTGTTCTTCAGTCTTCTTCTCCGTGACGTGGCCTGGCTCCTCTAGTCATTCCGTGCTCATTGGGAACAGAAGGCGAGGCTGGCTTCTGTGTCACCAGTCATTCCACGTCTTCTCCGAGAGAAGGCAAGTCCAGGCCGGGTCTGGCCCTGGGACTGGGGACCAGCCGGGGACACTGAGTCCCCGCTACCAGCCGAGGAGAGCTGAGCGAGGGCAGACAGAGGGTGTGCGCATCGGAATGCGGGGAGCGGGGCACAGGAGCGGGGTGCACGGGAGGCCCCGGTGCCAGGCGGGGAAGCAGGGGCTGGTTCAGAGCACGCTTGGTGGCCAGGGTTTGGGAAGGTTATTCCTGGGCACCGGTCTGTGGGGGAATCCAAAGGGCGGAGCCTGGAGGGGAACAGGGGAAGCTGGGCACCCGTGGGAGAGTGGAGAGGCGTGGGCAGACTGAGAACTCTCTGCCTGGGGATCAGCAAACACCTGGTCATTGATGGACAGAAAGAGGAGGGAGAGACGGGCCCACTGAGTCCCTGGCAGCGCTGCGGGCGTCTTTCTCAGCGAGACGTGAGCTGTCACCGCGAGGTCCGGGCACGGCCTGCCCGTGGGTCTGTGTGAGGTCAGAGCCCCGTCCATCTGCTGCTCCGCGCCCGCAGCACAGGCTGATGGTGTGCCCCGCCCTGAGCGTGCCAGCCCTGGCCCCAGCCCGGCCCTGACCTCCCCCTCCCTGTGCAGACCTCCGTGTTTACGCCTGCGTACGGGTCCGTGACCAACGTGAGGGTCAACAGCACCATGACCGCCCTGCAGGTGCTCAGCCTGCTGCTCAGCAAGTTCCGGGTAAGTCAAGTCTGCGTCCCCAGCCGGCGGCCTCCCAGCCGCTGCTGCGTCGGGGGTGGGTGACAGGGGGGGGGGGAAGGTTGTGGGGGGTGAGGCGGGGTGTTGTCTGTGGCCCTGGTGGAAGGCCTGGCAGGGTTCTCTCTGTGGCGCTGGGCTCTGGGGTTCGAGGCAGACGGGGGGCGGGTGGTCCGCGTGGCACTGGGGTGTGGGGGCTGCAGGGGTGCCCCTATCCCTGGTCTTGGATGCCGGTCTGACCTCTGACTCTGCCGCTGCAGGTGGAGAACAGCCCCAGCGAGTTCGCACTCTACGTGGTTCACGAGTCGGGGGGTGAGTGTCGGCTTTGGCCCCAGATCCCAAGAACAAAAGGCAGGCTCCCGACCACGGTCCTCTCCCAGGGCTGTGCTGGCTCGTGTGCCCTCCTGCCCTTGGGACCCACTGTGCCTGCACCCCGAATGCCTCTCCCAGCCCCGGCCAGGGCACAGCTGTCCCTTTGAGAACCACCCGCCCCGTAGGAAGCCACCATCCTAGCCCACTTACTGGGAGGGTCTGTGAGCTGGAGTGGAGCCCTCAGCCCTGAGCAGTGCAGCAGCCGAGCCCCTGCCCGGCCCCGGGAGGCAACTGTGGGCCCAGCCTCCCGGGACCGCTTCCCCCCGCCTCCCTCCCCAGACGGTCCCTGTCCACCGGGCCTTTGTGAAGGACATGGCCACACACCACTCAGGGCCATCGTCTCAGCCAGGCCTGGGGGAGGGCCCCCGCGGCCCTGACAGCTGCTGTCCACCCTGGCCCTGGCCGGGAACAAGGCGAGCCTCATGCCCCTGAGTCCTGTAAACCGCCTTTCTTTCCAGAGCGGACAAAACTAAAGGACTGTGAGTACCCGCTGATTTCCAGGATCCTGCACGGGCCCAGTGAGAAGATTGCCAGGATCTTCCTGATGGAGGCCGACCTGGGCGAGGAGGTTCCTCACGACGTGAGTGGGGCCGGGGCTGGGAGGCCTGCTCCTGAGGGAGGGCAGGCGGACGGCCGGGGGCTCTCAGGGCTCCGGCTCTCCTTGGCCACAGCCCTCTGGGACGTGGTCTCCGGGGACTGCACGGCTGTCCCGAAGGGCCCCTGGCAAGGGCGATGATGGCTCCGGCCCCGCCCCCACCCCTCTGTGCCCCCTCCAGCTCTGTGGGCCGGCTCAGAGGGAGAAGTTGGTTCCAGGAAGCCACTGCCTGGGCTTTCCCTTCCTCAGGTGGAGCCTTTTCCTTCATGGCAGTGTCTGTTGTCATTGCAACCCGGTGGTTCTCCACCTTCCTGGTGCCGCGGCCCTTCAACACAGCTCCTCGTGTGGTGGTGACCCCCAACCACAAAACTATTTTCGTTGCTACTTCATAACTGTAATTGTGCTTCTGTTAGGAGTCGTAATGTAAGTATCTGTGCTTTCCGATGGTCTCGGGCTCTACAGCAGCGGCTCTCAACCTGTGGCTCGCGACCTTTCAGACCTCACGGATCCCCAGTAGAGCCTAAGACCATCGGAAAACACATACTTACATTACGACTCCTAACATTAGCACAATTACAGTTATGAAGTAGCAATAAAAATAGATTTGTGATTGGGGGTCACCACCACATGAGGAGCTGTATTAAAGGGTCGCAGCATCGGGAAGGTTGAGAACCACTGCACTAGGTCCGTCCGCACAAGGGTTTCTGAGCGAGGGCCTGGCCGGGCCTGTGGACAGGCATCTGAGTCCACGGGCCGGCACAGTGTCCTGCCACCGTGAGACCGTGTGTCCCACCTGCACCCCGTGTGCCTCTGATCACCTCTAATGCTTCTCCTCAGCCTCAGCCCGCCCGGAGCACACGGAACAGTGTTGGGGGTGGGAGAGGGCAGCCGCCTCCACCGTGTGAGGCGTTGCTGAGTTGGACCGGTGGAAACCAGGAGGCAAAGAAAATGTGTTTGGCGTCTAATGTAAAGCACATTAAAATGTTCTTGGATTTTCTAGGTTGCTCAGTACATTAAGTTTGAAATGCCGGTGCTGGACAGTTTTATTGAAAAATTAAAAGAAGAGGAGCAAAGAGAAATAATCAAACTGACCATGAAGTAAGCAGCACTTAAAGGGCCAGTCGTGGGGCCTGTCCATCTGGCAAGCCTGCAGGGTAGAGCACCCAGGACCAATGCTTAAAGGGCCAGTGCAGGGGCCTGTCCATCAGGCAAGCTGCAGGGTAGAGCATCCGGGCCAGGGCTTTATCCTCCAGGCTCTGTAGGGAGAGCTCTCTCCTCCAGACATGCCAGGTGCCCTCGCACAGCTCAGGGAAGCCTGCCAACCCTGGTTTTCCAGCCCGGCCCTCTGGCCTTCTACTTGGCATTGATACCAAGTTGGGTGGCAACTTGCCAAAATAGCAGGAGGAAGCCCAGTCCCCCATTCAGCACCACACCAGAAGGGAGGGACACAAGCTGCTGAAAACCCAGTAGCAGAGTCCGGCAGGGGCATGGGTGGACCAGGACCAGGCCTGGGGTTCTGCTGCTGACCGGCTCTGGGGGAGCCGCGGAGAGGGCCTGCTCTGCTCACGGTCAGCCTGCCCGGGGCTTTCGTGCAGCGGAGTCTGCGCCTGCCAACAGGGGTGGTGGTTGTACCTCAGGTGCAGAGAACCAGTTCACCTGGCAGCTCCTGGGGAAGCTACTGGGCCCAGCTGTGTGAGGTGAGCCAGGTTACATGGCCCTCTGCAGAGCCAAGCGTGGAAAGGACACGTGCAAGGTGCCATGCCAGGGCTGGGGTCAGAGTCCCTCTTAGGAAGGCAAGTGGGGGGGTTGCTCCCTGCTGGGGCCTGAAGTTGAGGACTGGCTAGGATTCTGGCTGAATGACCCGTGGAAGCCACACCCCCTCCACCTCTCTCCCCCACACGTCCATCTGTGCGCTGGGCCCCGCGTGGGCAGTCAGCAGGGTCACTGTAGGATTTGGGACCTGAAAAGGATGTGGGGCCACCTGGGCAGTCTGCTCAGGGTGCAGGGAGGACACAGCGACTTCAGAGCCCAGGCCTGAACCCAGGGCTCTGATCCTGGCTCTGTGCTCTGTCCACTCCAGCACGCACCTGTCCACACTGGACAGTCTTTGCCATGGAAATGGCAGCACGTAGCTGTGAGACTTGGCAGTGTGTGCAGCCCTGTGCCTGCCTCTGGTAGCCTGTGGTCCTACAGGGTGTCCGCCTGGCTCTTCCCTCCGTGGCAGAAGGCAGGCAGTGGCACTGATCAGCAGTCAGGGACCCTAATCTCCCGGCCCAGGCATCTGCAGCTCCCTCACTCCGCCCCCTCCCCCGCCCCATCCCTCGCAGTGTCAGTGAGTCTGCATGGCTGTGTCTCCCTCCAGGTTCCAAGCCCTGCGCCTGACGATGCAGCAGCGCCTGGAGCAGCTGGTGGAGGCCCAGTAGCCAGCCAGAGCCCGCCTCTTCCGAAGCCACCAGCAGCCAACGCACGCCCAGTGCCCGCGAGCGGGCCCTGACCGGCGGCCCCTCCTGAGGAATCCGAACCTGTTTACCCGCCTGAGTACCATGTCCCTGGTTCTTATCTCCACGTGAGCACTCGCAGGACCCGGGCACTGGCCTGAGCAGCAGGAACTTGCTGGTGGGGCTTCCTGCTGGTTTGGTGGGAGCTGCGTGGAAGTTTGCTCTGGGCATTGAGCAGCCCTGGCGCTGACACCTCCACGTTATGGATGGGCTGGCTAGTCCCGTTCACGCCACATCTCCTGCTTAGGAGAGTGGTACCTACCCGAGCCCTGGAGCTGGCACAGCCCCGCAGGGCCCAGCCCGCCCTCTGCGTCCACGGGAGCCACCCTGTGCTGCGCTCCGGAGCTCTGCCCAGGAGGCGGGCTGCCTGCAGGGAGGGAAGGTGCCTGCTCCTAGCACCACTTCACCGTGGCGTCCCTGGCTCCTGCCCCCAAACATCCGACGTCAGTCCGTGAGCCTCGCACAACCCAGCACGCCAGAGGCAGAGGCTGGACAGGAATGAGACCACGAGCTCCTGGCCTTCTCTCTGCGGCACTGACTCTAACCTTCCTCAGCAAGACCTGAAGGAATCCTTCTGAGGAGCTCACCGCACAGCCATGCCCATCTGGTCCAGCGGAGGAGGTGGCCCACGTGGCGTTGGGTGTACGACCCCTTGTGGGAGAGTCCAGGGTCCAAGAGCTGCTGTCAGTGGCTGGAGAAGGCAGTGCCCAGGCCCCGCCACACTGTCCCTCTCTGGCTGCAGCCTCCACGCAAAGCACTTCCCTCACAGGCGTGCGATGAGGAGAAATGTCAGCCTGAGGAGAAGGGGCTTTGAATTCATTGGGCCCAGACACTGAGCCGTTTGGGTTTGTCAGCCGATGGAGAATTTCTGGAAGGAATAAGAAGTCTTTTGCAAACCTATGCAACACTTGTTGTCAGTCATGGTATTTGTCAGAAGCTAAAGACCCAATTTCTTCCCGCTGCCGGTGGGTGGCACACTTCAGGGGAAGAACCAGCGAGGCCTCCACATGCAGGCAACGGATACCCCCTCTGCCTGGGCAGCGGCTCCGGCTGCGCCCACAGGAGCAGAGCCGGGGAGCAGCCAGGCTGCCAGTTTGCTGTCTGCTTCCTGTGGCAGCACAATTTCCAAGGTACTAATGAAGGTGTGCTCCCCTGAGCTGGAGGGGTCAGGGCCACACCTCCTTTTTGCTTGTGTGTGTCACCTGCTCCCCTGCTGTATTCCTGAGACTCTTACCCAGAGAGGGTGCAGCTGAACTTGGCAGGTGATCTAGATCCGAGCCCCATCGGTGCCCTTGCACAGACATAACCCTGCATTCTGTGCCTACCCTGGGGAGGGCTGTGGGGCCTGAGGGCAGAGGTGGCTGCAGCGCATGGAGGAGTCATCGTTGTGGGGGTCTGTGGGTGGCCTGGCCGGTGAACGTAGGGTCATCCCGAATCACAGACTCTCAGCATCAGGAATCTCCCAGGTACAGGCTCAGGTGGATTGGCGGCAAGAACGAGGCGAGGGTAGAAAAGAAACCAAACGGGTCATTTCACTCCCCGGCCCCTGTTTACAGCCTCAGGTCTAGCACAGCTGCCATCCTGAACTAGAGCTCTAGTTCAGCAGTGATTGAGTGACGTCTTGTGAGAGGCCTCTGCTCACCCCTGGTTAGGGGGAGGATCCAATACAAGCCCAGCAAAGATTGGGAAGTTGATTGGTTAGTTTGAAAGGATGCATGGTCCTTCCCCAAGGCCAACATAATATAATCCCAGTTTAGCAAACCTCTCTCTCTTGCTGGGTAACTGTGCTGGCCTGCTGGTTCCTGCGTTCTCTCTCCATAGTTATCATGCGGCCCTGGCCGCTGCTCTGGCCTGGCACACTGCAGTAGCAGGATGGCATACAATCTCCGGACATTGGCCCTATTTCTGGCCTGAAAAGCAAGGTTGGATTTTTTTATGGCGGGACAGGTGAGACATTTGGAACCCAGGGCAGTTCTTTGATTTTGCATCTGGCGCCACACTAAGTCTGCACGTCACAACCTCTACACGCGGTTTCCAGAATGCTTTCCTTGCGAGTCCGTGAAAGAACCCCATTCCACCAACAAGAGACTGAGGGTGTTTTTTGCACTTCTTACAATATTATTTAATTTAATGCTTGTCTAGATAAGTGTCACTTATAAAATAGACATTATCAAAGCTAACTTCTGAATACCTTGGCTAACAAAAGCCACTGGCACAGCAAGAGGGAAATGGGCACTCCTGTCATCTGAGGGCTTCACACACCTTTCCATCGATGCCACCCTTACTCTTCAGGGGCCATGGGGAAACCTGCTTACGTCAGCTCCCTGTGACCCCTCAGGTTTCCTGCTGGTTTGTGGGGAAGCTCCATGTCCCTCCGCAGACCTGACGGTGTTTCTCAGACGCCCTTCACTAACCAGTGCCTCAGGGAATAAGTGTATCCAAAGGTGAAGTGAAGATGCTGGTGAGAGCATGTCCTCTCCTTCAGAAGGCCCGGCTCAGGAACCAGGGAAAATAATAAACAGGGTGAAATCCACATGATTGCAACATAGCAAGTGGACTCGGGAAAAACAGGGTGGTTTGTCCAGAACAAGTAGGCATTGAAAACAGCTTGTTTTTCCCCTGGTAACAACCATATGCTACCTGCTTGGGATGTTTGCCAGAAAATGGATGAAAGACCTTCCCGCTGTCAACATAAAGCTGGGCCTTCACCCAGGAACATCTGGTCCCTTCGACTCAGGGCAGGCCAGGTGAATGGCGGAGGCCCTGGCAGTGCACACCGTGCCCGTGTGGGTGGCACAGGGTGCCCTGCAGCTGCAGAACAGGGGCAGGCTGTCCTTAGCAGGTGTCCTGGTGGGCAGGAGCTGCTGCCTCAGTCCCGCAGCCACAGTCAGCCAGGAGGTGCGATCAGAGCCAGCTGGTTCCCAGTGTAAAAACAGCTCAGTGTACACACTGTTGTAATTGTCTGGGAGAAAGCCAGCTGCTGACCTGCCCTTGGACACCCAGCTTGCAGGGTGGAACTCTGCTCCCTCCTGGCTGTACTTTTAAATGGGGTGTTTTTCTGTCTCCCCTATCTGTCCCTCCCAGTCTCTCCCCCTTTGTCCTTTTTTTTTTTTTTTTTTTTTTTTTTTTTTTTTTTGTAAATATGTGTCCCATTTTTCAATAATTAAATTTGTTTAAAAATTACCTGGAACCCCTTTGGAGAGATGCTATCATGTGGAGGTTATATGCACAGCTGGGACGGATTCCAAGGAGGCATCAGAGTAAGTGGATGCTGCACAAACACGCTCCCAGGACCGAACTGGAAATACAACTAAAATACAGAAAAACTTCCTGAATAACCACCTGAGGGCCAGCTGGAGAGAACCTTGTAACCAAGGAAGGAAAGTGAAGACCACATAGAGACTGGTAGGAAGGGCGGAGGCACAAGAGGGCTGGTGGGGCTCCAGCACACAGCAGCTAAAGTTATGGAAAGAAATCTCAGCTGTGGGGGGTTCCCACTGAGAACTCTGGGGTCTTAACCCCAAGCTTGGACCCCCAACAGAGAGCACCAGAACTGAGAAAGATGCTCTCATACCATCTGGCTGTGAAAAGCAGTGGGGTTGCTGCCTGCTAGGGGGAGATGGCTGGAAATGCAGGCATCCTCTTAAAGAGCCAACACAAAAATGTGCATGTGCAGCCACTCGCCTTGGGCTCTAAAACTTTCAACAATAAAGATAACCTTTATACAAAAAAAAAAAAAAAAAGCCAGTTACTTGGGCCCATTTTCTCATTTGTAAAATAAGGATAATAACAGTTCCTATCTCTTAAAGTTGTGGGAGGTTTTTTAGTCAACTTTGTTACAGAAACAAGTAACACCAAAAATCTCAGTGACTACAACCAGACCATTTATTTGTCAAGTTATATAGGACTACAGGCGGCTGAGGTGGGCATATGTATCTCCGCTCCACATGTCTTCTCTCAGGTCCGACTGAAGGAGCAGCCCACATGGCACACAGTATTCTCAAGGCAGAGGCAGGGACAGGGTGGAGGCAGAAGCAGTGCTGTAAAGCCTCTTCCAGGACGTGGTATACTCCACTGGCACCCATCCACTCACACGCAGGTGGCCAATGCTATTCACACCTAAAATCAACATTAGTGGGATGGGTGTCAGCAATAGGCAGGGATGTGACCTTCAAAAAGGGCCAGTAAATGCCTGGAAACAATGCTAGCACAGGAATATGGAATGAGACGCTTCGAACAGTGTCTGGCACATGGTAAGCGTTCAGTAAGAATCGACTATAACTATACTACTAAGTAGAAGGCATAAAACACTGCTTGTTTTCTCTCCCTCTCTTGCTCCTTTTTCTTTTCATCTTCCTCCTCCTCCCCACCCCATATTCTTTCTATTTCTTGCCCCTCTCCATCCTCACCTCCTACTCTGCCCATTCTTGGCTATCTACACACCTTTGTTTCATGACTTTCATCTCTCTCTCTCTCTCCTTTTTAAAATTCATTTTTCTTTATCTAAATCTCTACTTCTCTAATCTACACATCTCTGGGCCTTCTGTAGTTGGCCAAATTGTTATCAGGTAAGCTAAACGAGGTAATTCACCTTTACGTGGGACATGGAAGTAGTTAGTCTTAATTAATGACTGTCTAACAATAACATGTTTTTAAATAAATGTTATCTTATTTTAATATACATAGAGCAAACAGTCCCAGAAGGTCATTTTTGCTTTTGAAACTGTCAAGCGGAGTACGGCTATGAAACAGCTGTGTTGTTACAGCTCAGTTATGAAGCAGCATGGCTGTAAGGCAGCCCTGAGATGAGGCAGCCCCAGGGTGAGAGGGCCGTGAGGCTGGACAGCTCTGCTCTACCCCCGTCTGCTGCTCCAGCGAGATGACTTTAGTGTTTCAGCACCGGGAGAGGGAGCACAACCTTCAGTCACTAGTGGAAAGGGGCAGGGTACTGTCTCAGCCAGAGGGGAGCTGGCTTATACACACAGCCTGGTCCCTGACTGGTCATCCTCATGCAAATGAGGACTCCAAATACTTGCAATGTGATTGGTCCAAAAGGCACTGTACTGAGTGGTCAAAATGGAGCTGCTCTGATTGATCAGTGAGGATGTTGGTGATTTGGATGCTCAGCTGCTCTGACTGGGTGGGGAAAGCCTCAGTCCTATTGGCTGAAGTCCCAGGAACTGCTTTATAAGGGAGGTCAGGCCTGCAGTGCAGGCATGTGGTTCAGGGCAGGCTTCTCCCTGCCTGTGGCTTGTCTGAAAGGCCCCTGTTTAGAAAGGGCTGCTAGGCTCTCCTTTTACATTTGAATCCAGTCAGCCAGCTGGGCCCTTCTTTCTCAAGGTCCACGCAGCTTTTCCTATACTCTCTCTGGCCATTGCTCCCTACCCCCACCCCTTCAACGACAGCATCAACTTCTAATAGTGATTTAATAATACTAGTAAAAGTAGCCAAAATTGGTTTGGCTCAATGGATAGAGTGTTGGCTTGGGGACTGAAAGGTCCTGGGTTCGATTCCGGTCAAGGGCACGTACCTTGGTTGCGGGCATATCCCCAGTAGGGGGTGTGCAAGAGTCAGCTGATCGATGACTCTCTCTCATCGATGTTTCTAACTATCTCCCTTCCTCTGTACAAAATCAATAAAATATATTTTTAAAAATAAATAAATAAATAAATAAATAAATAATATTAGTAAAAGTAATAGCAACACCTCATATTTTTGTGTTATGCACTGTGCTAAATCCCTTACATTTATCTCATTTAATCTTTACAACAGTCCAGCTACTAACCAGATTCTTGAGTTGGCATTCCTTGTCCAGGCCTTAGCCCACCTGGAGCTACTCTGGCCTCTACCATCAACGCACTGTGTTACCTCAGGAAAGTCTCCCTCCCTCAGCCTTATTTTACTGACCTGTAAGACAGACATAACGATCCCTGCATCGCGAGACTGTAGTAGAGATGAATGACCTGAGAATAGATGTAAACGCACTTGTAAACAATGAGGTATCTTACAAATTTATTCATTCAACAAACACTTGCTGAGTGCCTGTACCTGCTGAGCCCTGTTCTTAGCAATGCAGACACAACAAAGAGCAAGAAGCAGAACCGGACAGCTGTGTGCGCCTCTGTGAGGCCATGGGCTTTTGTTCCAATGGCATCAGAAACCTATGGAGGTTTTGAACAAAAGTAAGGTAATGCTCTGACTTGGATTCTAAGAGGATCTTTCTGGGGCTGTGTGCAGACTTTGGGGAGACCAGTGAGGAAGCCAGAGCAATAATCCAGACAGGAGATGAGCGTGGCTCGCCAGAGGTTATAGCAGTGGGGGTAAAAGGTTCATTTCCGGATATATTCTGAGGATAAAGCCAATATAATTTCAATGGGTTGAATTTGGGTTTTGCATGAAAAAGAGTCAACAATGACATCAAGAGTTTGGACCTGAGCACCTGGACAGATGAAGTTGCCATCAGTTGCTGGGATGACGACTGTTGAAGGAATAGGTTAGGACGGTGAATGTCATAAATTCACTCAGTCAGGTTTGCAATGTCCGTCACACAAGCAAGTAGTGCTGAGTACTCAAGTGGGTAGACAACTCTGGAGTCCAGTAATAAATGCATCTCAGCGGGGCTGGAGTTCACAATCCAGAGCCTTCAGCACCTGTGGGTGGTCTCTGAAGCCACCCGAGCGGAGGAGTTGGCAGAGGAGAGAGGGTGCCCAGCTCAGGACGGCTTGGCTGAGGAGGAGGAGCGGCAGAAGAGAGAACAGGGGAGACCGATACTAAGGATAAATAAGGGGATGCTGAAAACCGGGAGACTTCCCTGGGAAAAGCCCGCCCCATCCTTGGGGGTCCGCTTTCACAGTGCACACTGGAGCACACTCCGCCTTGGTTTCCTTGCGGGTGAAATGAATAAGACCATTCCGGCCCTGCGGGGCGTTTTGGTGAGAATGAAACAAGGTGCCTCGTGAAAAAGACCGGGGACAGTTGGGGTCCCCGAGAGCACCCCTTACAGGGAGTCAGTGCGCCAGATGTGCAGAAAAAAGCCTGGAGCGGGGGGCTGGTCGCGGCCCCTAGGCCCTGACGGGAAGCACCGGCTGCAGGTCGCTCCTCGGCCACCAGGGGCGCGGGCGGACGCCTTCGGGGGAGCTGGAGGAGGAACCCACCGGGAGAAGGGGGCAGCGACCATAGAGTCGCTCCGCGCGTTCCTAGAGTGGCAGCGGCGGCGGGGCCTGCACTTCCGGCGTCTGGAGGGCGCCGAGCTGGGGAGCCGGGGCCGCGGGCTTGGTGAGCGGGGCGGCGCGGGGGCGGCCGGGGTCCGGGAGGCGCGGTGAGCGGGGCGGCGCGGGGGCGGCGGGAAGGAGAGAGGCGCGGTGAGCGGGTCCCGGGGGTGCGGGAAGCGGAGCCCGCCAGGGGTGGACGGGGCGCGGGGAATGAGGGCCCGGGGCGGGGGGCGGGGAGCGGGCGGCAGGCGGGGTGGGGTGCGTGGGCCTGCAGGCCGGGGATGGCGGCGGAGGGGGCCGCGGAGGCCTGAGGCGCCGGCGGTGGGGCCGGGGCGGGCGGCCGGGCCCCTCCTGAGCCTCAGTGGCGCTGCGGGAGGGGAACTGAGGTGCGGTGGCACCGGCTGCTCTGGGACTGGCGACATTTTCTGTGTAACCTAGCTGCTGTCGGCCTGGCTGCTTCATTGTCCCCCCAGTTTCCGTGTGAAAACAGGCTGGTCCCCGTCCCTGCCGCCCAGGCCGCCGCGCCCGCACCGAGCGGCGATGGGCCTGCCCGCCTGAGCTGTGGCCCCGCGGGGCGGGCCGGCGCGGGGCGGCCAGGCGCTGCCCGGAGCTGCCGGGAGGACTGGCCGCCTGGACTGTGTGTCCTCATCTCCAGTGCTGCAGGTGGACTAGGTGGTCTCCTGAGTTTCCTGCTAGGTCCCACTTCTATGGTATTAAAAAGTAAATGTGTGTGTTTTCAGGGTATAATTACCATTAAAGCCATTTGTTGAACTCCAGTACCATGGACCTAACAAATGCCTCCTTGTAAGATGTTCTATAAATGTTTACCACCGTTAAAGACTGGGTAGCCGTATCGCTGTAATTTTGTTTTGAATGCAGTTTGCTTTTTCTGATACCATAATTGCAGCAGATATAATTATTGAATATCCAGATAATTTCCCCAGTGCCTGAACTCTCAGTTATACAAGCCTGAACTCTCAGTTATACAATAAGATGAAGGTAAGAGCCCTAACAGTTTGGGTCTGCGGACTTAAGGTTCCCAGGTTCGATTCTGATCAAGGGCATGTACCTTGGTTGTGGGCACATACTCAGTAGGGGGTGTGCAGGAGGCACCTGATGGATGTTACTCTCTCATGGATGTTTCTAACTATCCCTCTCCCTCTCTGTAAAACAAAACAAAACAAAAACAAAATATATTTTTTTAAAGATAAAGGAATGGCAGAACAATGGTGTCATTTGTGTTTTCATTATTTGCTTTAGAAGCCTGTTATAATTTTTTTGTCTACTTCCTGACATCTGATGTGAAAAATAGTTCCAATAATTGTATTATTTTTTAAGCCTAGCTTCTCGTAAATTTTCACCTATTTAGAGTTTGTGGCTAGTTATGCCTTTTTTAAAAATAACTTCATATGTAAATAAATTGATTTATTTGAAATTTTGAGTTTATTTAGCACTTGGATGTTTTTTAAAATTCCAACTCTATTTTTATATTTAAACTTTCTCCTTTGCACCCTTTTCCTACTGTTTCTTTCGCTATCCTGTAAAAGTTTTTTAAAAATATTTATCTTTCAAAACACAATCCTCAAGTTTTCAAAGAATTGTCCTCTTTGATCATTCAAATCTAGAAAAAAAGCATCTCTTTATGGGCATTTTTCTCACCCAGCATTTGTTAAATTAACTTACAGAAACTTAACTGCTCTTTACAGAATAGTTCTTACTTTCAAAACAGTTTATGCTAAAAGCTAGAGCAAAGTTGTTATCTATAGCTGTGAAAGTAGAATGGCTAAATGAATAAGGACAAATATAGGTGTCCCAAAAGTGTATACACACACTTTCAATAAATATAAAGGCAGTGTTTGTTAAAATACATTTCATTTTCAAAATTGAACTACCAGCTATTAAAGTGTGTATACATTTTTTGAGACACTCTATAGTTATTAAAAGCATGATTTGTCATTTTTCTAATTTGAACTCCTTAATTAGATAGCTACCAGTGAGAAGCTTAACCTGAGAGTAAATATTAAAACGATTTTTATTTGCTAATATTAAGTTTAAACTCTGGGATTATTAGAATTACTTTACAAGTATTTTTTGCAGAATTGTTTTTCCTATGTATTGAATAGTTTTTAAATTTAAAAGTGGAAGCAAATTTGATGGATCTAAAGAGGTATAAAGTTGAATTATTAACAAATCATCTGTAATTATTTTTGTTTTTTCTTCTACACCCAGAGAATTCTGAGCTCTGTAGCTCTAGGAAGCGAAGCATTAGTTCAGAAGAAGCAAGTGGACTCTTAAGAACACATCTGACTCTCACAATGCAGTTAGGAAAACCGAAGGGAGGTATTTCTCGGAGCACAAGCCAAGGGAAGATTTCCCGGAGCGCAACCCAAGGGAAGATTCCTCGGAGTGCAACCCAAGGGAAGATTTCCCGGAGCGCAACCCAAGGGAAGATTTCTCGGAGCGCAACCCAAGGGAAGATTCCTCGGAGCGCAAGCCAAGGGAAGATTTCTCGTAGTGCAAGCCAAGCAAAGCCCTCTGAGAACCAGCGCAAAAGAGGCTGGCAGCGGCAGAAATGGGGAACAACTATTCGGTTTGACTCAGGCTTGAGTAGACGGAGAAGAGGCCTGGATGAGAAGCCCTACAAATGTAAAGAATGTGAAAAAAGTTTCAGTCAGAGCTCAACCCTTTTTCAACACCGGAAGATCCATACTGGAAAGAAATCCCATAAATGTGCTGATTGCGGGAAAAGTTTCTTTCAGAGTTCTAATCTCATCCAGCATCGACGGGTCCATACTGGGGAAAAGCCCTATAAATGTGATGAGTGTGGAGAAAGGTTTAAACAGAGCTCCAATCTCATTCAGCACCAGAGAATTCATACTGGAGAAAAGCCCTATCAGTGCGATCAGTGCGGCCGATGCTTCAGCCAGAGCTCCCACCTCATTCAGCACCAGAGAACCCACACGGGGGAGAAGCCCTACCAGTGCAGTGAGTGTGGCAAATGCTTCAGTCAGAGCTCCCACCTCAGGCAGCACATGAAGGTGCACAAAGAGAAGGTGCACAAAGAGAAGTCACGCAAAACTCCAGGCAAAAACATTAAGGCAAAAACTCACGTAGTATCTTGGAAAACGGGCACAAAAAGGAAGTCGGTGGGTCGCCTCCGCTAAAGGCAAAGGAAAAAGGAAAAGCTCCCTTAGATCTAGAGGTACTTCACAATAGAGCATGCACACACCGTCCTTTCCCAGCATGGAGACATTGGAGCACGGGTGCAGTGCCCTCAGGCCGGCGGGTGGAAAGAAATGACCTGAGTCCACTGTTCCCGTTTATGTAACCTGGAGTACAGAAAACTGAAAACATTTTTTGCGAGAATATAAACTCCTTGACCTTGTTTGAAAGGGTTGCCTGCATAATTTTGACAAGAACAATCATGTTTTAACGGCATATAAAAATGTAGGAATTTCAGTAACTTCAGTTTTAAGACTTTCTGTTGAAGGAATAATTAAAAAGGAAAAACTTAATTCCATTGATTTGGGAGTTCTGTAACATGAAGCTTTTTGTTTGTTTGTTTGTTTTTATATTTTATTGATTTTTTACAGAGAGGAAGGGAGAGAGAGAGCTAGAAACATCGATGAGAGAGAAACATTGACCAGCTGCCTCTTGCACACCTCCTACCAGGAATGTGCCCACAACCAATGTACATGCCCTTGACCGGAATCGAACCTGGGACCTTTCAGTCCGCAGACCGATGCTCTACCACTGAGCCAAACCGGTTTCAGCTAACATGAAGTTTTATGTTTGTAAAGTCTTGTAGTATATTAATCACCAGTTTGTAAGTATGACTCGATTCATTATATGAAAATAGATTGCTCACTGATTCTTAAGGCCCATCACTATCAACTTTTTTTTCTTTCCTTCTTATGGACAGCTGTAAAACCAGAATTTTCCTGCTTTTCACCAAATTCTTATTAAAATTTACTCTAAAAGTCAAAGCGAAACTGAATTAAACCACAAGTTCTTTGTGATGGTGTTACACTGTGTCAGTTGTTTTCCAGAAGTTAGAATGGATTTATCCATCTCTATACCTTTGACTTTTATATGATGTGATTTTGACTTTGACTTCTTTTGAAGTTCTCTTGTGCTCTGACAAACTGAAATAGCATTTTAGACCCACATGAATAAATAAACCATATGTAACCAAAACAGTTTCAACTTGCTAATTATAAATCTACAATGCACACACCTCCCTGCCTTCTCCTTGGAGAACTTGAAATAATAGCAAATTACCTAAAGCAAAAATTACTTAATCCAAATGTAGCTCAAAGTAGATTTTGAAATCTAAGTTAAACTTCTGAGTGAAATTAATTATTTACAGTCTAGCAAACAGCGCTGTGTCCCACATTCTGTTCAGCAGCCTTCAGCTCAAACTTTAATTCTATTAAATGTTAACATTATGATTTTTTTGTATCTTTTATAATCATGTTCATTTCTGGTGTATTAATGACAATTATTCATAAAAATTTTAAAATGGAATATTTTGCATACCTTTTTATTTTTCTCCTGGGAAATTATTTTAAGGATTTAAGCAACATCTAAAAGCACAGCTTTGGAAGAATCATTTGTTTTGCCTGTTTTTTATTTCCTCAAACTTGAACTTTGTCTTCCTCCTGGCCTTGTACTTAGTTTAGAGTCTTAGAAGATGGCTTTGCTGGCAATAATCTCATCCAATGGGATATCCACAGAGTGTGTGTGACGGGTGATTGAAGTTATCTTTCACAAAAGACTTGATCTTTGCTTAGCAGAGCTGTTTTGAGGACCTACAATCAGTGTGGAGCAGTTTTGTATCTGGAGTAACTTCTGACTGGACCAACACCACTTTCTTAAATGTAATGAGTTTTGCAATTTTGACAGCAACCAGAGGGTCCTGCAAGAGAAAGACCTTTGTATGTTAGATTTCATAGTTTACATTTTTATCCTGAATAAACTTCTGTTCCCTATAAAAATAAAGCAAGTACTCCAGAGTGTGTTGTCTTCTCAGTCTGTGGTTTGTATTTCTTAGAGCCATAAAACCGGGAGCAGATAGGTCAGTACATTCGGTAACCTGTGGTAACCAACATGGCACTGCAGCCTTTTCCTCCTTTTAGGAGCACCTTGGGAGAAGAAATTACAACTGCTTTACATTAGTGTGTGAATGGAATAATTTGTGTTAGAAATTGACTAGCAGTGGAACATGAATCTAAGCACTGCCTCTGAATACACTCTTGTATGAAAATACGCTGCCCCTCGATGTTCTGCTGAATTTCCAACATAACAGGTTTACCAAGCTGAACCCTTTTATTCTTCTGGCTCCCTATACAACCTCTGAGTTTTTTATTTAGGGAAAGGGGAACACTAAGTTTTGGGGGGGGGGGGGGGGTTGTTTTGTTTTTTAATACTGTTGAAATTTCTGTCCTATACCAACGAGTAAGATAGGTTGTTTAAAACCTTTGGATTCCACATTCTTTCTTTATTCAATCTAAGTGCAGTAGAAAAAATGGGTAAAACAGCCTTAGCTTGAAGGAACTAAGGTTTAGTGGGTAGTCAAGTAGAGGAATTGGAATGTAAATGAGTAAAGCAAACGGTACTGTAGAGACCCAATGGCTCTCAATTTCAGCATGCATCAGGATCACCTGGAAGGCTTGTTAAAACATTGATTCCTGGGCCCACCCAGAATGGCTTTCCAGTAGGTCTGGGCTGTGGCCAAATGATTTCTATTTCTAACCAGTTCCCAGGTGATGGTGATATGCTGGCCCAGGACCCCCTTGCAAGGCCACTGCGATAACCCATTCACTGGGGGCAGTGCGTGCTCTGCGAGGTGGTGTCTGAGATGCATACGTAATACTAATCTTCGATAAGGATAGGCAGGATTTAATGAAGACTTTGGGCCCTAGGGCAACATACTTGGATTTGCATCTTGGTCGCCTAGCAACTGGTCAATTTGAATTTTGTTCTTAAGTTGGAAAAGATACTTGTGGTTAAGTTGTAGGGGGTTTGGGGGGGGAGATTATATGAAATAATGCAGGCAGAGAGCTTTGCCTAGAGTATGGGACATTGTTTAGAATTTACTCTTTGACTTAGGTCATGAGAGGCAGAGAAGCTATTGAACCAAATCTGAAATTGTCGGCAAAAATAATACTTTCCATAAATTTAAAGGTGAGTTCTATTTCCCCCCCAGCACCATTTCATAAGTTCCTAAGGGAAATTTAAGATCCTCCGCCTGGCCAGTGTGGCTCAGTTGATTGGAGTGTTCCATACTCCAAAGGTGGCAGGTTTTATTCGTGATCAGGGTACATAGCCAGGTTGCAGATTTGATCCCCATCGTGGTTGTGTGTGGGAGGCAACAGATACATATTTCTCTCACATTAATCTTTCCCTTCCTCTCTAAAACCAAAATAAGTAAATAAACCTATATCAATTTTTTGACAGATAGTAGGAGTACCTCTTGAAGTGCCTGGCCATTATATTTATTCCCCATGTTAGGGAGATAAAGTGGTTTCATTTTGTTGAAGTAAACATCTGGGGTGTTTCTCTAGGCTCAGTTGGAAACACCCCAGCTTAGTGAGGGCACTGCATGGAAAGGCCTCAGTCTTGTTCTGGACCCTGGGCTTCTTACGCTTCTCTACGTTACTTAGAACTGTCACTAGATGGCAGCATAGGAGGTAGAATGGAAATATGCCTGTCTGTCATGTGCATTCAGCTTGTATCTTCCTTTGAAAATAGCATACTCAAAATGTGGAGAATTTGAGGTCACCCTCTACAGTCAGATGGGACTCGGTAAAATGTCTTTGGAGATGCAAGCATAATTTTTTAAAGTGAGCACATTTAGTCAAATTACCTGAATATTCTTCCCAGTTCCGCTGTAACTTAGATATTAATAACTTACAAGGCACAGGAAGATAAGTCTTTTTTCTGCCACTTAGTCCCTTCCTGTTAGAAAACAAAAAGAAATCCATTTTTCATTTAAAAACTAATATTTTCTCTGCTTCCCTCTTAGTTTGCTCTCCTCTATAGCCAACTCCTTGCTATAGATCTCTTTCCTTCCCTGGCACTGTCACCTCAGTCCATTCCCAGCGGGGTTTAGCCCACCCCTCTGCTCAGAAACACTTTCCCAGGGGTCCGCGGGAACCTGTGTGCACACAGTGAGGCATGGCCATGGAGAGGAAGGCGCAGGGTGAGGCGGAGAAGCAGCGTGGAGCTGTCTGGCCTCTGCGCTGGGTGCTGCTATTCCTGCTGCGGCTCCTTGCTTAGCGGGCTCGGTGGGTGCTCTCTCGTGGAGGAAGGAGGGATAAAAGGGAACGGCCTCATGTAAGTCCACCCATGTAACGCGTGAAGTCAGTCCCTGTAGAAGTGTGAGTTGAGGTTGAGATCCTGACCTCGGTGTCCAGGTGCAGAACCCGGCAGAAATGGAATGAGAATCGCCCATGGGCTGGGGAAAGGGATGCTGGAAGCACAGACTGCAGCTACCTGAGTACACCGGCAAGCACAAGTGACCTAGGATGTCCTTGGTGGAGAATTTGAAAACTTGATCTTCACAAGAGTTGCCCTGATCATCTAAATTTTTCATGAGTCTGAGGGAGACCAAAACTGGCTCTGGACAGTTTATAAATATACATTTAATGAAATGAGTCTGTGAATAAATATTTATTTATTTTTTATTTTAATTTTTTAAAATTTTTAATCAATCTTTATTGTTCATATTATTACAAAGGTTCCTCTTTTCTTCCCCCCTCCACCAGGTTCCCACCCCACCCTCTCCATCCCCCATTGTCCTCATCCATAGGTGCACAGTTTATGTTCTGAATATTTAAATACTAGAGGCCTGGTACATGAAATTCGTGCACAGGTGTGTGTGTCCCTCAGCCCAGCCTGCACCCTCTCCAACCTGGGACCCATCAGGGGATGTCCAACTGCCTGTTTAGTTGGACATTCACAATTCAGGACTGCTGGCTCCCAACTGCTCACCTGCCTGCCTTCCTGATTGCCCCTAACCACTTCTGCCTGCCAGCCTTGTCACCCCCTAACCACTCCCCTTCCAGCCTGTTTGTCCCTAACCGCCCTCCCCTGCAGGCCTGGTCCTCCCCGCCCCAACTGCTCTTCCCTGCTGACCTGGTCACCCCTGACTGCCCTCCCC